TTGGAAAAGACCTTCAAGATCATCGAGTCCAGCTGTTGACCTGACACGGGGTGGTAAAACCAGAAGGTTTTGTAGCCCTGAGATCCTTCCAGAGCCCTTTGCCTGCCCCAGGAGGAGCTGTAGGACCAGAGAACAGACACCAAAAATGGTCTGTGTGAGAGTTATTTTGGTTGGGAAAGACCCTTAAGATGGTCAAGTCCGACTGTCAGGAGTTGGTCTCATGGTCCTGGTGGGTCCCTTCCAACTCAGCACATCCTGTGATTCCATGTCAACCCAGCACTGCCAAGCCCACCATTAAAACCTGTTCTCCAGGGATGGGAACACCCACCTGGTGGGTTCCTCAGGATTCAGCAGGGAACAGCCAGGGCTCCCAAGCAGGATGATGCCCCTGTCAGTTCAGTTTGGGTCCTACTGAACCTCTTTGCTCACAGGAGGAGATCCAGGAGGTGAAGGATGAAGGAAACCTGGACCTGCTCTTTGATTCCCTGGATAAAATCGTGGAGGAGGCAAAGAACCAGGAAGAGCCTGCGTGGTGAGTCCTGTGGGATGGGGGTGGAGACATGGCCCTGGCTCCTGGCAGGATCAGTTTCTGGGTGATGCTGGGGCTGTGTGGAGGTGTCCTGGGGGGGGACATCTTAACAGCAGTGACCTCAGTAAGTTGAGGTCGGTAGCAAAGAGCATCTTTGCCTTGTCCAGAGGAGGCCCCGGAGATGCTGGGAGGGCTGGAGCAGCTCTGGAGCCAGGCTGGGAGAGTTGGGGTGTTGAGCCTGGAGAGGAGAAGGCTCCAGGGAGACCTTAGAGCAGCTTCCAGGGCCTGAAGGGGCTCCAGGAAAGCTGGGGAGGGACTTGGGACAAGGGCAGGGAGGGATGGGATGAGGGGGAGGGATGAAAAGTGGGAGAGGGAGCTGGAGGTTGGAGCTGAGGAGGGAATTGTGGAGTGTGAGGGTGGGGAGAGCCTGGGCCAGGTTGCCCAGGGAAGCTGTGGCTGCCCCATCCCTGGGGGTGTTGAAGGGCAGGTTGGATGGGGCTTGGAGCAGCCTGGGCTG